AGTTTCAGGCACTTTCAACACCCTTTCACCTTTGTTTTTGCTTATGGCAGCAGCTGCTGCTCTTGCCGCACATGCCTGCAGCAGTTGTGCCACAATATTGCAGCAACAACAACAACAGCAACAACAGCAGGAGTAGCAACCACACACTGTCAATAAGTTTTCAATAAATTTTGGCGCTGCACACTAATCTCTACAAACACATCGCAACTAATCGTTTAGGCAAATAAATAAGCGGCAACGCCCAGTCAAACGGCCAACAAACAGTGACATGTTGCAGTGGCAACAACAACAACAACAGTAGTAGTAGCAGCAGCAACGCCTACAAACTGCTACAACAAAAACAAGCCGAGCAGCGACGGCAACAGCAACAGCAGGTAAAAGAATTGACCGGCCAGCCGTCTGCTTACCTGTGTTGATCTCCCTGGGCATTGGGCACGCACCTCAATGGCTGGCCAATCGGAAGCGCGCGCACACACACACTCACACACACGCATACACCCGCACACACCCACACACACACATGTATAATTCATGTACAGCTGCTTAACTAATTGCGTTGAGCGACCAAATTGTGCGTTTGTCGTCCTGCAGGGCGTCGATTTCACGCCAATGATCGCCAATCAATAAATAAAAAAGTGAGAATATATCCCAACAGAGGGGGGGTGACCATAAAAAAGAGACAAAAAAAAACATATTTATTTGTTGTTTGGTTGTTGCCGCTGTTGTTGTTGTAGTTGCTGGCATTTAACAGCAAAATCGAAACCAAAACGAAAGGCCAACAAAAAACAAAAATCCACCCATGCAATCAAAAATTACCAAAGCTAAATAAATACATGTGTGTAGATCCTGACTTCTGGCCTTGTTTTGTGTTGTAGTTGTTGTTGTTGTTGTCACCCCAGCAATCAATTGTTAAAAAAAAATAATAACGAGGAAGCAAACTAGACTTGAAGGCAACGCACTCTGCATACCCTCAGGCTAACTGGATTTTCCAAATTGCTTTTCAATATATATTTTGAAAGCATTTATGAAATATTACCAACATTTTTGGTAATGATTTCATATTAAAGTCGTCTGCAAGAATGATAAATGGCTGCTCACAAGTGTGATTATTATTATAACTATTTTGGCTACATTTTAGGATCTTTGGCTTTTTATATTTTAGTTTAGTTTTACTTTGTTTTTCAAGAATAAATAAATGAACAATTTTGAAAAGCAAATCAACTTGTACAAACCTTTCAATTCTTGACACCTTTAATTGGCGATATAAATATATTTCATTTAAAGTGGAAAGAACATCGATTAGTTTTAGATTTCAAGCCTAATTTTTAGTTTATTACTTAAAGATATAAATAATAATATTATAAGGACAGCCTCTGTAACACAATACCTCGTATATAGTATTAATCGATTAGTAATTATGACGAGGAAGTAAAAAGAAGAAACAACTGTTTGCGATCGAAATAAAGTGAATTTATATAAAAGAATCTTAGAAGCGATGTTCTACAATTTTGACTTTCTTTCCGACTGATGGCCACTATATCGAGTTCAATTGTAAAGCGACTTCTGTGCCTGCCAAACAGCAGCATAAAGTGCCAATACTCTTTGCTAGGGTATACAAAAAAACATATCGCTAAAAAGGCGAAGCAAAAAATTGAATGTTATGCGTTGGTGGGTGGGTGGTCGGTTGGATGAATGGATGGATGGATGGATGGATGGGCAGGGGAGGGACAAACCCCGCACGCACTAACACCGCCGGACGTGGACAAACTTTATCGCTTAGGGCGCATTAAGCATTGCCGCTGCCTGTTAACTATAATACCCAATTGTTGTTGTTGTTGTTGCTGCTGCTGCTGCTGCTGTCAATATTGTCATTATACGTGTGGCAACCGCAAATTGCAGGAGTCACCGGCCAGCCGCGTCGACACTGACAAGTGGCAGGAGTGCAGAGCACAGAGCGTCAATAATTTGCCGGCTAGTTGACAGACACACACACACACACACACACACACACACATATAGCTATACAGATTTATGCATGTACTGGTATATGTGGCTGCCAACGTGTCATTGCCGTGTGCAACATTTTCATTATGTTTATTAATGCCACAAACACACACACACATAGACAGTACAGAAAACATCAACGAATTTTCGAAGAGACAGCAATATTGATTATGAAGCTATTGTTGTTGTTGTTGTTGTTGTTGTTGAAGCTGAAATTAAAGACTGAACATACATGTATGCCGATTTAAATTTTCGTTTTTGCATAAATACTTTTATTCCTGTACTTACAAAAGCTACAAAAGCTTTTCCCAAATTTTCCAGTTTTGAGAAGTTTGTTTTCTTAATTGCCTGAGCCTCTTAATTTTTCATTTTATCCACTAAGTTCAATACTTGTATAGTTGTAGTAATATCTCGAATTTACAACTTAAATAGAGTACACAATTTTACAAAAGTTATTAAATAAATAAAAACGGAATTTAAAATAGCCAGCTTGTCGATAATATTTTCTCGAATTTACAATTAAAATAAAGTATATAATTTCACAAAAGTTAACAAATTGGCGTATTTGTAGTAAAGCTTGTTTCTTCTCTTGCCACATATGATTTAAATAACTTCCCGGCTTATTTATCGCTTAAGTACAGTTCTCAAAACATAGATCACTTAATACATAAAAACATTTTTAAAAAGAAAAAACTCAAAGGCAAGTTTGGTTTGCAACTTCTGTCTACTTTAGAATCTGCTGTTTATTGATTTCTAGATAAATTTTCCGATCTTCTTCTTCTTCTTGTGCGATTAGTGTTCAATACAATACTCTATTCGATGGCTTGACCAGCGCCGTTGAAACTTTTTTGTTTTCACTTTTGCTTGACTTTTGACGTTTGGGTTTTAAAATCAATTCAAATTTGGGGATATGAGTTTGATTTCTTTTGTTGCCTATCCCCAGGCGCTTGACAACATATGTATGTATGTATGAGTACACACATACTCACACATATAGTACATACATATGCTTATTTGTATGGCACATAAATTGGCACATGGCCCGCGGGCCGGACAAGAACTTTATTGTTTTGGTCAATCAAAACTGTTTGGAATTGTCGCAGGAACTTTTCGTTGTTATTGCCGCAACAACAACAACAACAAGAACAACAAGAACAAGAACAACATCAAAACCAACTCGGGTTCTCTTTACTCTTCAAGTCCATTGCGACTCGAATTAATTGCAAGCCGAACATTTTTGCCGCTACTGGAATTTATTGCCACACGCCTCGCATATGCAAATGCATATACATGAGGGGGTTGCTGCCTCTTTTTTTCCAATGGGGTGGGTGGCATGGTTGCTGCCACTGCCACCGCCACTGCTATTGTTTTTCGGTTGAGTTTTAGCAGCAAGCCAAATAATAAATTAAAGTGCATAGATCGGGAATAAACGCCCGCCCGTCCGACCGACCGACCGACCGACCGACCGAATCAACCGTCTGCCCGCCCTTCTTGTTGCGTTACTTTCCCAAGCGCTTATCACTATGTCTGTATTGTCTGTATGTGTGTGTTTGTGTGTGTGTGTGTGTGTGTGTGTGTATGTAAATAAGGGGGGAGAGTGCTGGTGCTAGTCCGTTACGGTTTTGGTTTGGTAAAAACCCCAGCATAACGCAAATTGTCAGAAAAACTAAAACGCAAAATTGCGCCGACTTGTTGTTGTTCTAGTTGTTGTTGCTGCTGCAGCAAATCAATTGTGACAGCTCTGCTGCACATGTGTGTATTTATGTGTGTGTGTGTGTGCGTGTTCGCATTTAATATTTAGTAGCTATTCGGGCCCTAATGAACGCCAACAATTTGCGCGCGCCTTCAAAGTACGATAACCATGGGCAGAACAGCGTTGTAGTTGAGTGAAAAAAATTGTTGTTCGCTTCTTGCTATGACTATTACTAAGGCAAAATAAAAATTGAAAAAATCGATAACGATAAATATCGATACCGATAGCAGCTAAATAAAGATAATTAAGCCACAATAAAATAAATGCTACACAGTTACAGCTGCAACTTCTGTGAAATCACGTTTATCGATAACACTACAACATGAGCTATCGATAATTGGTAGAAATACTTTAATTGTATCACTGCATATATATACAACAAACACTTACAGCTCATATCGATTTAAACAGAAAACAAAATGAAATCTTTGTGACGAACATGCCTTACAGTTCATATCAGTTATCGATTAAAAAACAAAAAATAAATAAAAATAAAAACTTGGTTGCAATCAAGCCGTTGAGAATTATAACCTCATCGAAACGATGAGCCTGTTATCGAAAGGTTGCCTCAAAGACTTATCAAAAACAAAAGGTACCAGCAATGATTTTAAAAATGTACTACCACGTTGTTTACTCATTTGCTCCACTGTGCCGCCGTTGCGAAATTATGCATAAGAGGGCGTAAAGCTAGCGCCCATTTCTTGACTGTGCCAATTGTCGCAATAAAACTGACAACAACAACAACAGCAGCTACAATCAACCGCAGTATGTGGAGAAAATTAGAGACATCGACTTTAGACGCCTTATAAGCAATGTTAGGGCATTTACTTAGCCCATTACTGCACACAAACACACACACACAGCAATGTGTATATGTTTGAGGTTGAGCGCCAAACGAATTAAGCCAAAATTGATGGCCACCAAAATGCTTGGCCATAAAATGTGGGGGGAGAAGTTGAAGAGTCGAAAATAAAAGGAGATAAAATTTATGAACAGAAATTCAATTCCAAGCATACCCATGTACATACTTGTATATACTATATATGTATATACGTGTATATATATGTACATATGTATTGACAGGCACTCACACCCCCGCCACTACCCACACCCCTGCTAGCTCATGTTCACTGATAATTTGTTGCCCGTAACCTGCCATTAAACGACGCACTCTCACCATTGCCATCTCTCTCTCTCTCTTTTTCTCCTCTCTCTTTTCTCGATATTTGCGCTGGGACCACAGATTCCGATTCCACAGAGAACGATGCCGTCGCTGCGCAGGACATTCTCACGTGCGGCGCGTGTCAAAAGACCTTCGCGCTCTCGGACATTGTCAAGTTCATACAACACAAGGTCCTGCAATGCAACAAGGAGAACTACGGCCAGTGCACGACGCAAGGTGAGTACCGAGACAGTACCCCCCGGTACCCTCTAGAAAGTCGAAACATATTGTTTCGAAATAGATTCAATTACAGACTGCATCATCCCTATTCATTCTTGTAAAGATCCTCGGTAATATTTGATTTAGGTTTGCCAAAGATACATATATTTTTACTATTATTCAAAGAAGATTAGTAAATTCTTCTTCATTCTTGTAAAGATCCTCGATAATATGTATTTGATTGCGGAAGATACATATATATAATATTCAAAGAAGAATTAGTAAATTCTTCTGTAACATCTCCAACAACAACTGACTTAGGTTCATTAGAGTTAGCAAAAGATCTTTCTATTCAAAATTATTTATGTAGAATGGACATAGACTCCATCATCGCAAATCATTCTTGTAAAGATTCTCAAAATTATTGTTTTAGGTTGGCTGAAGATATATTTTTCAAAGAAAATAAGTTAACTCTTCCGTAACATCTGCAAAACCAACTGACTAAGCCTCATTATTCAAAATAATTTGAAATGTTACCTATGAAGAACCAAGCTTAAGCTTAGAAAAGTGGCGATCTGATCTATGAAATCTTGTTATTAGAATAGAAGAAGAAAAACGGAAGAAACAAACAACAGCAATTTTCAACGAAAGCTAGCAAAAATTTATATTCAATAATGATTCACAGTTGGATCTAAGACTGAGTGTAAAAACCTAAACTAATTTCTAAAACCCATGTCTCTTCATTTTTCTCCGTGCAGGTCCCACAATGGATCGCGATGCGGAAGAGGGTCGACCGCTAAGTCTGGTCAATCGCCGTCCATCGATTTCGGCACCCATTAGCAGTCGGAAACCCACAAGTGGTGCCGGCAGCGCTGCCGCCGCTGCTGCTGCGTCCGCAGCCACGGCTAGCGCCAGCAGTACAGCCAGCGCCAGCGGCTCAAGGATACACACACCACCGCCCAGTCCTGCAGATTTGTTGGCCGATGGGGCCAGCAGTACGCCCAAGCGTCTTGTAGATGGTAAGCCTCTGCACCCAACACTTAACACTGATTGCCCAACACTTATTCAGATTGTGATCAACACTAATTTGTGCCTTCAACACTCTTTTTGCTTTTTTTGTGCAGAGAACGACAACACAACGCCCAAAGACAGCGAAACGGCTGCGAATGCCTTGGAGGCGGGAGCGGCAACCACAGTTGTTGTTGCCAGCTCGGGAGCGGACATTGGACGCCGCTCGGCAATCGTTGACGATGACGACGACGATGACGATGATATGGATGAGGATGATATGGCGCTGAGATCTCGTAGTCGTCACAGCAGCTGTGAACTAGACAACGTCGCCGCCAATCAACACAACAACCATCATGTTGACGATGATGAGGATGCTGATGAGAATGCTGACGATGACAAGCCAAAGGTTAAACAGGAGCCGTATGGTGAGGATGAGGAGGCCGAGGAGCTATTGCAAGCCCATGATGATGATGATGTGGACGATGGTCATAAGCCTAGCACAAATAATAATAACAATAATAATAATAATAATGACGATGGCCAGCCGCTGGCCAAGCGACCCAAAATCGAGGTCTGCGATGCCGAAGCCAATACCGTGCATACAGGTAAGCAAAAATATCCTGCCAATATCCTCTAACGCAAATATTTTTGCGCTCGTTATTAAAATTTGCAAACTCAAACTCAAAGCCAACCCTACCCCACCACACCGCCCAGTCCAGTCCAATTCAATCCAAATTATTGGCAGTGACCAACTCATACAAACATCAAAAACATGCAATTTTGAATTTTCCGAAAATTGCGAATGCAAAAAATGTTTTTGATGTTTTCAAAGGATGACAATGAATTATGTGTTGCATGCGCGTAAGTCGCTGCTGATCAGCCCGCCAGGCAGAATGTCAGCCAGCGATAAGCTGCAGCTGTCCCTGCCCCTGCCCCTGCCGCCTCTGCGTCGGCTGTTTAACAATTTTCTGACCAATTGCGCTGCAAAACAAAAGCAAACAAAAAAACACAAAACAAAATTAAAACATTGCGCGTTATCCTTGTCCGAGAAATAAAAGCAGTAAAAAGCGTTTGTGTGATAAAAAGGCAGCCACGCAGGCATCAGGCATCAGGCATCAGGCAACATCAAAGCGCAACAACGCAAATGCTGATAACTGAAGTGCAACAGGACCAGACCAAAAGGACAATTGGACAGTTTGAACAGCGTGACAATCGAAGCTGGCCCCAGAGGCTGCTGTCCTGACAGTCCTGACAGAACAGCCAGCCAGCCAGCTGCCCTTTGACATTTCAATGCAAATGATGAAAAGCCAAAGACAACAAAAAGCAGAAGAGTATAGAAAAAATGAGTAGGTAGCGGCGGTGGGTAGGAGAAGCTGAAAAGCTGAAAAGAGGGCAGCAACAACAACAACAGCAACAAGAAAGCAAAGCAAAGCAAAGTAAAGCAAAGCGAAAGGCGAGCTGCCCTGAAGGGTAATTTGAATACGAAACGAAGCGCAGGAGCAAAGGAATGCTGCTGCTGCGACCAACCAACCACTTAACTGGACAAAAGAACTCGCTTCATGTTGTTGTTGTTGTTACTGCCAAGACAACGAATAAAGACGGATAATGCCAAAAGGGGTGGGCAACGAAGCCAAAGAATCGCGTTCAGCTCAGACGCTGGTCACTCGGATTCTGACTCTGCCTCTGACTTTGACTTTAGCTTGACCGCTGTGTGGTGAGTGGTGAGCGGTGCTGAGTGCGTGTGGCACGTGCCACAGCTGCTGGCCAGCGAAACAGCGGGGTTCAAAGGTCAACAAGCGTGTGCTTACAGGTAAAAAGTCGCATACGTCGCGTGTCCAGCTGACCAAACAATTAGCAAACCAATTGAGTGAATGATTGATTGCAGCCACAAAACTGAGGCAAAGTGTTTCGAAAGCGATTGCATATTTATGGGCTATTTAACACTAAGTTGGCTTAGTAGCATTACAAATTCATAATCATTCATAAATCTGATGATTTGAGTAGCTCATTCAAGCCATTCCTGCTCAGAAATGATGATTATTCGTTTGATTCAACGAAAAAAAAAAAACATTTTCATTTGTTTCATTTCGAGTGCTCTTTGATTAGCTCATTCATATTCATAAATGATTCATCAACTCCATGCATTCACAGCCGTTTTCAATGAGTATGAATTCATTGAAATATTCCGTCACATTTCAGTTACAATTTAATTCATAGCTTGTGCTCTTTTAGCTCTTTTCATTCAGTTCGTCTATTCTTTTTTTTTATGATAACAAACTTTAACTGAATCTTATTCATGCTTTTAACTTCTTTGATTCAAATGCTCTTCTACTTAGCTAATTGAACTGTGACTAGTTTTTGAAGCCGTTTTAAATGTAGCTATGTATGTCTTCATTTGATTCTTACATTTATTGAATGCTTTAGTTTCATATTCGCTTGATTCAAACATATATTCAAAGAATATTCAAAGAGTCAGCATGAAACAATTGGTATTTGGTATTTTCCAAATTTTATTCACTTGACTGCGGGAGCTTATTATTCGAGCTTAAGTTATTAAAAAAATGCATTAAAATGCACTCGAATAATGCACAGTTATCATCATTCAAGATTTCACGCATTCATTTCACTTTCTACATAATGGCTTATCCATGTTTGAATCCTTTCCCTTAGCTACTTAGCTTACCTGGCAGCTTAATTATGGCAAATCGGTTGAAGCCAAAGCACTTTTTATACGAAAGCCAACAGACACTCAAACACTCACATGTCACGGAGACACATTTTTATTGTCACATTTAACCCTTGAACTTAGCGCGCCGTTTGACACGAGCGCGAAAAAAAGAGTAGAAGAGGAAAACAATGACAACGAGACAACAATAATAATACAAGTTACTGATGGCAAAGTTGTTGTTTGGCTTTGACTCTGACTCTGACAACGCAAACTGTCAGCAGCTCAACTAACAAACGCACATTGACATGCACACACACACACACACACACACACACAGAGAGATACAGATAAAGATACACAGATACGTAGATATACTTGCATGTATCTGTATCTGTAGCATGTTAATTACGCATTCTTGTTGTGTTTTATTTTTTTCTCCTCGCTCCTCTCTCTTTTTGTAGTTTGCAAGCGTACGTCCTTTCGTCCTTGTGGCTCCAATTGTTGTCCATTTGGTAATTATAAATATGGAGTCTGTGGAAGTCCTGGGCATGGTGGTCCTGATATGTGGTTGGCTGCCATGGCAATCTTTCTCTCTCTCTCTTTCTTTCTCTGGCGTTGACATGTCGCTTCGCAAAACTGTCAACCAAATGGATATTTCTGTGTCGCACAGTTTTTTAAAATTTAATGCGCATTTTGTGCGGTTGCCTATCCACACATATCATGTGTCTGTGTGTGTGTGTGTTAATTATCAATTTGCTGCGCGTTACAATGCACAGCGTGTCGCGACCGCAATGACAATGAACGAGCCGACGGTCGGTCGGTCGGTCGGTCGCTCTGTTGGGCAATCGGGGCTAACGGGGTTCACAAAAAATGCGAAAAAAAAGGAAAAGGACAATGTTGCTTAAATCCATTTGCTCATCACACACACACACACACACACACACAGGCACAAAAAGAGGCAAACATACACAGTATCTCATTCATTCAATTATTGACTCATGCTGGCACTAAGCCAGCATTAGCACACACTCACTCAAAAAAAAAAAAGAAGAGAACCACCCGCCCACACACTCATCGAATGAAAAGTGAAGGAGGGGAGAAGGACAACAACAACAACAACAGCAAAAAACACATTCGAATTCAATTCAATCTTTGACGAGAGCAAGGTCCGTCGACCGGTCGGTCACAGTTCAATGGCTAATGCGCCCAACTTATGCAATTTCACGTCCACACCTAACGACCGTCGTACCAATACGCCTTTCGGCAGCTTAGCGCCCAATGTGGGGCCCGGCCCATTGGCTCGAAGTAGCGAAAGGATTATGCGCCTTTGTTGTTGTCGCCAAATCAACGGCCAACGGAAAAAACCAAAAGGACACACACAGCGGCTTAGCGACCGGGCAAAAGGTTTGCTCATGCAAATGTTTGTTCGTTTTTACTTCTATACACATCTTTTTTTGCTGTCGTTCTTTTAGCAGCCCCATGTTGGGCGCTAGTGTATGGCTGTGTTGCCATTGTCTTGCTGTGTGTGTGTGTGTGTGTGTGCTGTGTGCCGCAAAGCTGCCAGTTGGCAAAGCTGCAACAATTATCCCATTAAGGACTGCAAACGTGTCTAACCCTTTGGCTGGTAGCGCAGCGCTATGCTCGTATATCTTTGTCTGTTTGCCACCCGCTGATACGCATTGCTCATACGCAGCGTCTGCCCATCAACAGCGCTTCCTGTGTCTGCCTTGTCTATCCTGACTGACTGAGCGGCCAGCCTTTGTTGCGCTGCGCTTGAGTTGCGTTAAGTACAGCAGGCGGTCAATTTGCCATTTCCGTGCACTACTACTGCACTGCCCACGTGTGTGTGTGTGTGTGTGTGTGTGTGTGTGTGTGTGTGTGTGTGTGTGTGTGTGTGTGTGTGTTGGTCCTGTCGTTGTCCTGTCTTTGTGCCTGCTTCTGTTTCCGTCTGAGCTGCTTTGAATATTGCGGTCACTTAGCGGGGGTGGCAGCAACGGCGCTGACGATGGCGATGACGATGACGACAACGTCAGCGGCATCTACTGCACCACTTCAATTTGGTTCTGCTTCATAACTTAACAACAAAAGCAGCCCGAGGCAACTGCCGCATAACAATTGCCCGTTTCCACTGCCCTTATCTGCCAGATATACATACAGTCAAGCCTCTAAGAATTACCCCATTGGCGAAGGCTTAAAAACGGGAGAGAAAAAATCTACCACGAACCTGCAGTCCTTTCTAATCAAGAAGAAGTATATATCCCAAACTTTCTCAAGTATTAAGGTCTCTCCCACCTCCATGAGCTCTAATTTAAGGAGAATACAACACCAGTACGACTTGTGAAGAAAGAGCTGCATGTCGAGTAAGGAAAAGGATTCCAAGAGTTAGTGCAAATGGGAATCCATGCTATCAGACTAATTAGGAATATGTAAAAATGTTAAAGGTCTCAGTCACGTTTAACCTCCAAAAGGCCACACTGTATGTGCGGAACGGATAGAAAGGATAAAGGACGCATGCTGCACATGCCTTTTAGCTTTGCTGTTGTTGTTGTTGTTGCCAAACAGCTGAGCTGCCAAAATCAGAACGTGCGCTCTTTGTCTGATCAGGAATATCAGCAGCAAAGGGCATCAACTCGTAAAAAACAGAACAGAAAGGAATTTAAAAATGTGAATTGAAAAAAAGTCGCGCGTGCGCGAAACGCGACCAAAGGATCCGGATCCTCGTGCCTCCTGTCCTCCAATGACAATAAAAAAAACTAATAATAATAAAAATAATGCCCAGCATTTTTGGATAACTTTTACCTTTTTTTTCCATGATCTTTGGCATGAGATCGGCGGCGCATCCTTTCAACCCCTTCTGCTGGCTAACCAGACAACAACAGCAGACAACGAAAAGCAACCCCTAGGGGCATTGAAAACAAATTATCTGTCAGATTCATTTGCATTTCCTGCGTGGCTATGCCCGCATGGTTAGATTTAAGCGAGCGGCGCTTGCCGGCAACGCGTCTCGAAGGTTTCAATGGCATCGCGAAGGTTTCGAAGGTCTCGCGGCCCCGACGAGGTCATGGCAAAATCATGTTAAACATGTTCACCTTTGACAGCAGCACGAGCGGGCGTGGACTGATGCGGCTGATGTTAAAGCTGCAGTCGCGCGTAACGCCATAAAATACAAAAAAGGAGAAAACATTTTTGAAAAAAAAAAGTGAAAAAAAATTAATAGAAGAAGTGAAAAGCAAAAGTGTGGAGGAAGCGCGCCATGCGTTCACTTTTTAAAGCATCATTTAAATGCAGAGGATGTCGCTGGCCAGGGTAGTTGTTGTGGCAATAGTAGTTGCGCATTAACACCTTGTTGCCCGCATGTGTCGTTGCTTGGTGACATGTGTGTGACGGCGACGGCAGAACCACATCCATATCCACACATCCACATCCACTTCCGCATCCTCATCCGTATTTGGAATGCGGTATTTGTATCCGCATCGCATCGTATCGCCGCATCCCCATTTCGATTAGCGTCTACGTGCGTTTAGCCAATTTTATGTTCGATTCTCAATTTATCGCCCAAGCCGTGGCAAATTTCACATTTTTCATTTTAAAAACCGCATCTGTTGCTAACAAATATGATAGTTATCGCAACATGTGCATACATGTGTGTCTCTGTATCTGTCTGTGTGTATCTGTGTGTGTATCTGTGTGTGTATCAGTCTGTGTGTGTGTGTGTGTGTGTATTTGCCTGCAATTTCCGTTGGGCGCCCATCAAATTAACAAAACTGCAAACGCAACGAAGAAGAAAAACGTTACGAAAATCTGAAAACTATTACGCCCAAAAAAAAAAAAAAAATACACCCAACAACAACAACAAAGTAGATAGTAATAATAAAACAACAACAACAACACACGTGTAAACGAATTTACAATCGCGGACATGCAGATATGAACACTCTTTAGCGTACAGAAACAATTCAAAGGCTTGCCATCCTGAAGAAAACTTCAACTTTTCAATCATAAATATATTAATTTTTTTTATAACATTTCATTGAAGGCATCCAAAACTTTATACATATTTTCTAATATTTTTTTATATAAGCAACCATATCAATATTACATTTTGTATGAAGCTCAAAACTTTCATAATGTTCGGGTATTCCCAGATATGAAACACTTTAGAGAAGAGAAACAATTTCAAGTCTAGACATCCTGCTATTGGCTGAAGAAAATGTAAGCTTCTCAAACATGATATGATTTTAATCAACATTTCATTGAAAGGATCCAAAAATTGAGATCCTCTCTGGTAGAGTTACATAAAAAATTTTACATTTAATAAATATTTTCATATTTTTTAAAAGTTTAAAAACAAGAAATAATATCAATGAAATCTATAATGTTGTACAACTTCATATATATTCCCTAAATGGTAACAATTATCGAACCCATCTCTAGAGCTGAGTATATAGCTTATATACCATATATGCTTATATATGAAGGATAGAAATTAGGTAAGAGTTGTGCTGTGCTGGGCAATAATCGCCCGTCAAGGCTTAAAGTCCTTTCCCAATATTTGATGGGCCAACTTTAAAAGGGATATATAGTATAATCCTAAGAACTATTCTACTTGTCAAATGGATTTCAATTCTTGAATAAATCGATACGTGTTTCTAATTCTAAAATTCTAAAATAAGCGAAGAAATTTGTTTGCAAATCTTTGCAAATGTAATGCTTCGACGGACAGAGAAATGAACTGTAACTGCTGTGCACATTTCAGTGTCCATCAGTGTATGCCACATGTATGTTTGCGTGTGTGTGTGTGTGTGTAAATGCGCATATGACAACATGCGGCGCCATATTTGGCAATATCCTAGCGTCTGCCTGCGGCGTCAGCAGCCATAATAGACAACATCCTCATTGGCGTCTGATGCGCGGGCCGCGTTATTACAAATTGTGTGCACACATCCACATATATATATATATATATATATATATAGTATACGTATATATGTATATGGTGTGTGTGTGTGCGTGTGTGCGTGTGTGAACAGGTTTACACACATTTATATGCTACGCACACCACATTCGATATGTTGGCCAAAAATCAATAAATAAATAAATAGCACAACCGACCGAAAAGTAGGCAGTCAGGCAGGGAGGCGGGGAGGGAATATAGGCAGGAAGACGACACACGCCCATTGTCCACCCCACGCCGAACTCCCAGCTCCCCACTCTCTACTCTCCAGCTGGCACAGCCGAGTGCCGACTGAGTGCCATTTTTGGCGTGGGCCTCACGACGACTGCACCCAACACACAGACTCTCGTATGCGTGCAGTACTTGTACGGGAGGAACCAAGCCTGGAGGTGTGTCGACCACTCAGAGCCAGTCAGCAGCTTACCAGCTCGCCATTACCATTTGAGTGGCAACTGCAACATTGTGACGCATCTCATGCTGACAGCGATTGCCCACACAGCCAGCGTCCATGGCGCGCCCAGAGCCGCAGAGCCCAAAAACAAAAACAAACCCAAGCCCCAGCCCCAAGCCAGGCGTGATAATGACACGCGCCAATTGTAATTGTAAATGATTTCAAGGCTGGGCTCAGCTGGGCTGGGATGGTCTGATCATAGACTTCTGTTCAAATCAAACCCAACAGAGACATCAATCGGAAAGAAAATAAACTTGCACTTACCGATGATAAGTGGAGGCAGCTTGCCAGGTTTCGTGTCACTTGGTCGAGTAGTTTCCGAAAAACATTGGCTCAGACATTCAAACAAAATGGTTGGGCAACTACATTTTGTTCTTGCTTTGGCTTGGAGCTAATGATCCGCGCCGATTATAATTGTACGCATTTCAGTTGTTTCTGCTCAAATCAGACCAATCAGAGACATTAATTGTAACGAGCGCACACAAGACTGTAAACTTGTATGTACTGCTTTCTAGTAGAGGTAGCTGACGAAGTTCGGTGGCATTTGGGCGGGTAGTTTGAAAAAGATTGACGCTCAGACAGTCGAACAAATGTGTACCCAACTTCATTTTATTTCTCTTGGAGCTATGCATTTGGCTCCACTGTGCAGCCCATTAATTATTTTAATGAAATTGCAAGCGACGCGCCACAACGGGACTCGCTGCGGATGTGTGTGTGTGTGTGTGTGTGTGGTTGAGGATGCTATGAGGGAGGGGAGGAGGGATTGAGTTGCGTCCTACAATTTCCTGTGCTTAGAGTGTTAATTGCATTTTTGGCTTATTGACAAATAACTAATAAACGTTTCCCTCCATCTAATTGCAGAGCCCAGTAACTACATCTGCTCGACCTGTAAGACCCGCTACACGAGCGCCTGGCGCCTCATCCAGCACGTGCAGCATTCGCATGGCGTCAAGATATACGTGGAATCGGGCATGGGTGCTGCCACCCTAACAGTGGCCACGCCCGCCTCGCTAAACAGCAGCATAGCCGCCGCCGCCGCCGCTGCTGCAGCCACTGGCACCACCTCAGCTTCGCCCAGCGCCAGTCCCACATCTTCTGTGGGTGTCAGCGCTTTGCCACTGCATGCGCTCATGCAGTCGACGCCGGTGCCGAAACGCAGTGCCAGCAACAGCAGCGCCGCCGCCAACAGCACCACCCATAGTGGTGGTAGTGCCAGTTCACCACCGGCCACCACATTGGCTTCCCAGCAGCAGCAACAACAGCAACAGCAGCAGCAATTGCTGCAACAACAACAGCAGCGCGCGGCTGCCGCTGTGGCTGCTGCAGCTGCCGTCGAGCACCACAAGCAGGCGGCGGTGGTGGCGGCACAACAACAACAGCAGGCAGCACAGCAACAACAAGCCGCAGCCGCCCAACAACAGAGCCTCAGTTCAGCAATGGCCGCAGCAGCCGCCGGTATGCGCCACCATCCGCTGTTGCCACCGCCGGAGGCGATGCACACGAATCCCTTCAATTTGTTGCGCATGCCACTACCACCGGCCCTGGCCCAGAGCCCCGTAGTTCCTAATGTGGCACCGCTCTTCAGCCGCCCCCATCCCGATCACTATCGCATGGAGCAGCTGGTGTCCGAGCAGTTCCGTCATCACGGCTTCAATTTGGCCGCCGCTGCGGTGGCTGCCGCTAATACCGCCGCCGCTGCCCAGTTCAGCGCGAATGGTGGTGGTAGTGGTGGTGCTGGCGGTGCTGTTTCCAATCAGAGCGGCAGCAATGTTCCTACGAATGTATGCTCGAGTGGTTTGGTGGAGCAGCGTCCGCCATCGAGCAATAGCAGCCACCGTGGTTCGGTGCCACCTGCCTCGTTGCCGCCACCATCGCTATCAGTGGCAGCAGCCGCTGCCGCGGCCGCCGCTGCTGCAGCCACCACGCCGGTAGGTGCTGGTGGCACTGGTGGTGCCCTCAGCCTGGAACCACAGCAGCAGATGGATTTTTACTCGCAGCGATTGCGTCAGCTTGCGGGCACAACAAGCCCTGGAGCTGGCAACATTGTTAACTCGAGCTCGCCGAGTCCACGACAAAAGCAATCGCCGCACTTTGCGAGCCCCTCGCCCTCCCAGCTACCTCCGACACCCGTTACCGCCAATAATAATAACAACAACAACAACAATAACAGCAGCAATAACAACAACAATAACAGCAGCAGCAGCAGCAGCAACAACAATAGCAGCAGCAGCAGCAACAACAGCAGCAGCAATATGCGACCCCATTCGCTGACGCCGCCAGAGAAATGCGAACTGAGCGGCGAGAACGGTGCGCTGCACACAACGCCCCGCTCCGCCTCCACACCACCCTCGAAGCCCTCCAGTCACGCCGAGGCCAGCTGCTATGCCTGCGGCTATTGCGATAAGAAGTTCCGCTTCGAAAACAATCTGATCATCCATCAGCGGACGCACACGGGCGAGAAACCCTACAAGTGTACCGCCTGCGACTTCGAATGCTCGCACATCCAGAAGCTGATGAAGCACATGCGTGTGCATCGCAGTCCTGCTGGTGCCGATGGTCCCGATGGTAATGGAGGTGATGGCCAGGATGGTGGCAGTAATGCGGATTCGTTGGAAACGAATGAGGCCGATGGCGATCCAGATGCGGATGAATCAGAGCCAGAACAGGATCTGGACGACGAGGATGCTGATGCGCTGGACGAGGAGGATGATGATGAATTGGACGAGGGTGATGATGTTGACTATGAAGCCGAAGATTTGAGCGTCAATACACGCATCGATGGCAAGAGCCAGAGTCCAAAGACCACCAGCTCGGGTGCCACCTCTCTGGTGGGTGAGCTGATGGACAAGTTTGGACTCTCGAACATTGCCCAGTACTCGGAGGCGTACAAGCAGGCGCTACAGGAGTCTGGCAGCCTCAAACATTTGACCAGCAGCGCTGGTGGCAAGGATTCTGCCTCGGTCTCTGCCGCGGCGGCCGCTGCGGATAACAACAATCGCAGCTCAAATCGTTCGCCACTGCCAGCGATTAGCGACAAACTGAATGGTTTGCCGGTGGCCGCTCTGCGATTGCGTGACGAGTTCGCCAAGAACTGTTCGATGTTCCAACAGCCAGCGCCGCAGGATGCGCCCGCACAGGTGCCACTGTTCAACCCCTTCCCCAACCCCTTCGAGCTGTCGAAACGCATGAAAATTGATGGCGGCGACTGGTGGGGCATGTCCGCTCTTCATCGCAACGATGCCCTCTTCGAGAACCTTAAGCTGAAACCACTGGGACTGGGCGGTGCCAATTCCCTGCTGCAAGGCCCACTGCTTAAAAAGGAGAGCCGACAACGCAACGACACCTGCGAATTTTGCGGCAAGGTGTTCAAAAACTGTTCCAACCTCACCGTGCATCGACGCAGCCACACCGGCGAGAAGCCCTACAAGTGCGAGCTCTGCTCCTATGCCTGCGCCCAGAGCTCCAAGCTGACGCGTCACATGAAGACGCACGGACGCACCGGCAAAGATGTCTACCGCTGCCGTTTCTGCGACATGCCCTTCAGCGTCCCCTCAACGCTCGAGAAGCATATGCGCAAATGTGTGGTCAATCAGGGCAAGGCAGCGGCTGCGGCAGCGAACGCGGCCAATGCTGTGGCCGCTGCACAGGCGGCGGCTGCTGCGCAACAACTGCAAGCAGCTGCGGCACAACAAATGCCGGCGCAGTCGCAACTATCGCCACCCTGCGCCTTGGGCTCCTTTGCACCCCAGTTCGGTGGTCACAATTTATCGCTGCCGGGCAGCGTAAGTGGTGACAATGATTCGAATGCATCCTCCAGCCTGCCAGCTCATCCAATTTCGCTGAAGGAGGAGGCATGACTTTTTAGCGGCTGGAGTGGCGCTGGACCACCGCCACCGCCGCCACATACGCATCTCCATGGCTCCGCCGCCGCTGGCACTGTCGGAGCTGGAAACCAAGCACAACACCCACCACCACCAACAGCACCACAACATCTGCAATTATCGCATCACCACCACCATCATCATCATCATCAGCAGCAACAGCAGCAGCAGCAGCAGCAATTGCAGTTACGTGGCGCTCTGCCTCATCCAAATCATCCGCTTACGCATCCGCATCCACATGCGCATGCGCACCATCAGCTGGCCAGCCGCAGTCGCATTATGTCGCGCATCTTTTAAAGATGGCGCGCCTAAAATACCCTCCTCTCCCACTTCGAGCAACCAGCCAACCAACCCTCTTGTACATACACATACATACACGCACACACGCACACACACACACATATTGTAGATGAAGCGGTTGCCTTGTAGCCTCAACACCACTTGCCCAGTTAATCAATCGTACGGTTATGGCAGCCCTAGCGCCCAAACCCTAGACCCTAGACCCCAGCCCCCTTCCCTGTCCCGCTCATCTTTTTTAAAAAGATAAATCGCATTATCCAGAGAAATCTTCGCCCCCACTCTCCCGTCTCTCGATGATGTCACACACTCTCACGCTCTGCCCGCGAACAGCTGACAGTTGACAGCTGATAGCTGTTGGCTGCCAGCTGAGACTCAGCCAAGCTCCTTCAAGGCGACAACCGACCAGAGGCATTTAATACCAAAGCAATAACCGTTATGTAATATAATTTTAAAGCATTTTTCATTTTTTTTCACAATTTTTTTTTTTCTAAACTAAATAACACGTGTAATTTATATGTATCGAGCGCTGCTCCACTGCGCATTAATTAATAAACTCTATTTAAATATATATACATATATATATAAAAATTTAAAATAAAACCGAAAGAAACCTAAAATAATATAAAAATTAGGCAACGGCGCTCGCCATTGTCCTCGTCGCACATTTTCCAGTGTATTTCTAGGAATAAGAGTTTTGTATAAACAAAAAGTAATCCAACTAAAAGCGAAACAAATATGCATACACATAACTGTATAGTATGTTTATGAAAACAAAAAGAAAAAAAAAAACATTTTAAAAAACACAAAAAAAAAAAACAAAAAGCAAGTTAAACAATTAAGCAAATTACACATACTCTAAAGATTTTCCAACTTTTGTTAAGAACGCGCGTATTTGTTAAAAGTATTAAAGGAAAAAACAAAAAAGAAAGAAAAAACAGACAAAAAACGACAACATCAATGTACATTTTTTTAGTAAATTTAGAAGATTAGCACTAAAAAGAAAAGAGGAAAAACTTGTAAAAATTTTTTTTATTATATATTGAATATGATTTTTTTTATTATAATTTCCAAGAATTTTTTTGCCTAGAAAATAATTACAAAATGTAATTTAAACAAAAATAATCAAATTTTTTACATACATAAATAAATAAATATAAATGTAAACATTTTTTTTATTATTATAAAACTAGTATTAAGCAAAGAACGAACGAAAGAAGGAAAGAAAGGAAAAAAATAACAAAACTAAAGCAGAAAATTTGTACGCAGAACTTCAAAAATAAAAAGCAATTCAATTATTGGAAATTTGAAACAACACAACAACAAAACCTAGATTTAGAAGACTGAGGAACTAACGTATTTGTTTTCTTGCAAAACTGCGAAACATTGAGAAAAGACAAACGTATGGTGAGGGGCAGAATGAAGTATGGAAATAATGTTAGGGGAGAACAAGAAATTTTTTTGACAATGTTTTTTGCTGTTGATTTTCGTTATTTGATTGAGACAAACATTTTGATTAATATTTAATGATTGTTTTTAGTAAAAATTTATTTGTGAGCCAAATTCAAATGCACAAAACAAAAATGGAAATTAGTTTAAACCTTGTTTCGATTACGTTTTAATTTGAAAAGCGCTTCTATTATTGCAAACACATACTTGTATGTATGTATTCTTGCAATAATATGAACCACTTTTCAAGTATTCTTTTATTATGAAGTTTAACGTGCATAATTTTTAAAATTAAACAAAAATATAGATACATATATAAATGTATATTGTAATTCATGAAGAAAATGAAATTCTAAAAATTGAGCTACAACGCATTGTGTTTCAGACAAACTAAAAAAGTATATAACTATGTTTAGTATATATACATATATAAAATCAAACAAAAACTGAATAAAAAACAAATATGAAAATTTAAAAAAAAAAACCAAATTTTGTATTATTTCTTTTATTTTCAACGAAGCAACATAAGAAGCACACTTTTTCTGTTGATTTCTTTTTTGGTTTCGAGCAGCAGAAACGACGCACGCGGAAAATTTGGACAAAGAACAACAACAACAAACAATACTACACAAGAAATAGCAAGCAAGCAAAGAAACTAAAAAAAGTATAAAGCAAGACAAAAAACCTATCATTACAATTTAGAGAATTAAATGTATTTATAAAGAACTTTATACCGACAAAAAATACCAAATTGTTGTAAATTGGCAAAAAAAAAAAAAACCAAATTAATATTAATAATAATAGCGAGAAAACACAAATTAAATAAAATGCGTAAATATTTGCAACTATAAAAATTAAAAATAAATTACGCGTGAACAAGAATGAAAAACAAAAAATTCAATATTTTTCAAATGTGTGTAATTTTTTGAAAGTAACAATAATAAACTAAACAAAAAGAACGTAAATTAATAATAATAATAATAATAATTAAAAATAGTTGTCTGTGTTACAAAATACAAAACAAAACAAAAAAAGCGACAAAAACAAAAACGAAATACATACAAATTGCAAACTGTAAAATAGGCATTTTTTTATTATTCGTTGCGATCGCTATAAATTTTATAGCAACGCACAAAGGTAGGCTATGCAAAGACAGAGCGATCGAGCCAACTGTCAAAATATATCGCAGCATGCTTCATGGCGCACATGAAACGAATTCAACCACCAGGTGTCGCTATCGCTACCTTTACAGCTCACTTATTCGAATTCAGACAACACATGCACGCACACACACATCACGCACAGCGTCGCCACCACACATACTCGTATGCCGTACATATGAGCTCTGCTGCCCAAGTTGAAGTTGAGTGAGCGAGAGAGAGAGAGCGATGGAGAGAGCGAACCAACGATAGCATTTGAAATGGACAGCAGTCAGCTTCATATATCCTTGTGTGTCCAAGCATATGAGCTGTTCATATATGAGCTGTTGTGCCGCCCAGTTTGGCGCCCACTGGCCGCCGCCATTGGCCATTGGCCGCTGGTCATGTGCCTGTCAGCCCCAGGACTCCCCCAGCACTGGTCACAACATGGAGAGCTCGACCAGCAGTGACCAATCCAACAGCATTCGCCGCCCCAATTGGTGTGTGCGGAAACATGAATTCGAATGAAGACGACTGTAACTGTGCGAATCATATGAGTATTTCTGTGTAAATGTGTGCGTGCGTGTTGGTGAGCTCCACACATGGCGCAGTCGACGCCCGAAAATATGCAGCATGGACACACACACACACACACATGGCCATACTGGCCGAACGTTAGCCGTTGGGTAGCTTTGCTGTATCCACATGTGTCCGTGTGTGCCTATGCGCTTGTGTGTGTGTGTGTGTGTGTTTGTACGAAAGTGCCGTTTCATTTGCGCACACATATGAGTGGTCTCTGCGCTCAATTCTGACCGCTCGTGGTCAAACGCTGCTGGCGCAGACAGCGCAGCCAACTTCGCAGTCGCCGTCATATTCGTCGGCGTCGTCGTTGTCGCGTTAGAGAAAGCAGCGTCAACACCCCCCAAACCAACCCACCCAACGAACGTATGACTGTTGCGTTCGCCGCACTCGAACTTGTGCGTTACAACTCGGCGCGTGGCCAAACATGTTCGTTGCCGGCAAACATGCTTTGAGGGGGTGGGAAGCGCTCTGTAGCCGCCTGGCTGCCAAATTAGTCGACAATCGCTTGGCCTGACATGTTGCTTGCACGCAGACATAAGTACAGGATTTAAATTACAAGGTTGAATCGCAAGGTACAGATACTTTACAATTCGACGTCTTACAATGATACTTGCCAGTTAGCTTCTTTATCTTTAAATCAACATTTTATGTAGCCTTTTTTGTATTTGACATGCCGGGGATAACACATTTTAGATCCAATCAATTGAGTGAGAAAACTAGCTAGATTATAAAAACTATTGATTATTTATTTATTTAAATTTTTGTAACTTATAATCAATCCGTCTGCCTGTGTCTATTTCAATCAGTACTGCTTCCACAGTCTAGGAACAGAAGCTTAGGCTCAGAAATTCTAGCAACAATTGCTTTTAATAAGTACTTCTAAGGACCTCAATCTACTTATTTATATTATGCACACTATTCAAATATTGTACCAAATACAAATTCAAACTACTTTATATGTATACAATTTAACTATGACTTTGGTTAGCCTTGTTTTGAAAAACAAAAATTGATTGAAAGTTCCGCCAACAAAATTAAGCATTATATCATTAAACCGACTTTATAATATTATTATCATATCGCATTTCGAACAGCAGAGTCTACAATGACCTAAAAATCCCATCCAAACTCTCACTTGAGAAACATAGTTATGCTTAATGGCTTTCCGGTACAAATTTGAAGAGAAATGTTCTCTCCTAGATGACAATGTTTGCTGAAATGCGCTTTCAGAGTAGCTCTTCTAAAAGTCCATAAATGGAACTCTCAAAATCATCAAAAATCTGAGGAATCAACATTTATTTATTATAAAGACAAAATACAGCCGATTTTTGTCCTTGAGAATGTCATGAGTTCAGCTCGTTCTACTTCAAATGAATCATGGCTCTTGCTTTAATCTTAGCGTAATAAGAGTTTGTGTACCTAATTGTGTTTCGAGAACTGTGTAAGTTTTCTAAATTAATACTTTGATTATGCATTTATAAAAATAATTATTAAGAAATTTGAAAAACC